GTGGTGGGGCCTGTGGGGAGTGGGGTCTAGCAAGAGGCCTTAGGTCACTGAGGCGTGCCTTTGAGGCAAAGTGTGGGACCCTGGGTCTCCCTCTTTTTCTTCTTCCTTACCACGAGGTGAGCAGTGGGCGCTGCGATACACTTTCGGCCATTGCCAACCCTCAGGGACCCAAAGCAATGTAACCGCTCAGTACTGGATGGACCCTCCCAAAAGGTACACCAAGGGGAAACCTTTTTCTCTGTGTAAGTTAAGCGTCTCGGGTCTTTTGTGATAGTGACAGAAAACAAAGCCAGGAGGTGTGGGCACCTGAAGGAGAAGGCAGAAGCTGGGCAAGAGTGGGTGAGATGGGGAGAATCAGGGCAGAGGCTCAGAACAGGTAACAACTGGATCCTAATTTAACCTCTAAAGGAAACGGACTAGAAGGTAGCCAGGAATCTTGGAGAGTAACGGTGATGGGCCAACCACTGGCTGGCCCTGGTGTCCCTCACCCCGACCCCGCACAGGTAAAAAAATTAAGGGCTTCCAAAACCTCTAACAAGTTGGACAGTTTACAAATCCGTGTGGTTAAATGGAGAATAATAAAAAGCCACTGCTTAAATTCAGTCACAACTTTCAAACAAATACAAACGGTTGTTTTTTTTTTTTTTTTTTTTAAGTGAAATCTACTCTTACCACCACGGCAGGGCTTAATATTTTTAAAAGTGTAACTGTTAACTAATGTTAGCCAGAGAGTGATGCTATTCACCAATTCTGGAAGACCCAGAAACGCACAGACGTCAAACGCTCCAAGTGGTTCTTTGTTCGAGTCACAGTTTTGAAGACAGCTCTAGATAAACCCAACAATTGAGCTGCTGTAAATAGCCTTCCTCTTTCATAAATTTCTCCCTACATTTAGAAGTACAGTTCCTTTGTTCACAAACTACTCGCAACTGTTCCATATTTAGATTCCCAAAGGCGTACCTTGGACTCATTGGATAAATGAATGAATAGCTGCATGGATGGATGAACAGGGGAGCGATCAGATGGCTTTGCTGAGATCCTGGAGATGAGATGTACAGAATGCTTCATGTATGTGGATCCCTGACTGGCCAGCATTAATGTTTCCCATGACTTTCGTATTTGACACAGAGAGACTGGATTAAAATGTATCAGAGGAAGCAAAATGGTTTGGTATATAACAGCTGTTCTCCCCCTCCAGCCCCCCGACCCCGAGACAAGGTTTCTCTGAGTACCCCTGGCTGTCTGTCCAGGACCAGCTGAGTAGCCCTGGAACTCACTCTGTAGACCAAGCTGGCCTCAAACTCAGAGATCTGCCTGCCTCTGACTCCTAAGTGCTGGGATTAAAGCAGGGAGGTGGTGGCGCACGCCTTTAATCCCAGCACTCGGGAGGCAGAGGCAGGCGGATCTCTGTGAGTTCGAGGCCAGCCTGGGCTACAGCGCGAGATCTAGGAAAGGCGCAAAGCTACACAGAGAAACCCTGTCTCGAAAAAACCAAAAAAAAAAAAAAAAAAGGTGTGTGCCACCACCGCCCGGCTACATTACAATTCATAACAGTAGCAAGATAGCAGTTATGAAGCAGCAAGGAAAATAAATTCTATGGTTGGGGGGTCCCCACAACATGAGGAACTGTATTAAAGGCTGAGAACCACTGCTCTAAAGTAAGGTATACTAATTCACACTCCTAAAGAGGGGCTTCAGAGTCCAGAGAGCCCTGGTCTGCCCCTGTGTCAGAGGCAGAAGTGACAGTTAAATGCTGTCAGCTCTCTGATACAGTGACAGCATACCTGAGACTATCATAAAGAGGAAGGACTTTGGTTCATTGCTTTGTCTGTCCATGGTCAGTTGGCCATTGCTTTTGGAAGCTGTGGTGAGGTATTCTCTAGTATTAGAGTATGCGGTAGAGGAAGCAGCTCATCAGGAAGCCGGAGGGTTGGGGTGGATCTGAATCCTACCTAATACCTCCTCAAAGGGCACACCTCCAAAGACTGCATTTCTTGGCCACACCTCTTAAAGGTTCCGACAACCTTCCAACAGTACCACAGACCGGGCCCAAGCCTTTGTCAGATGGGCCGCTGAAGGACACTTATTCAAACCACGGTGGTATTTACTAAGGACACTGAGTGGGGGACTCAAAACATGGGATGCCAGTCAAATTTCTGGGCAGCTTCTCGCTCCTTTCGAAAAGCCCTGTTTCACAGGCTCACGGTTCTCATATCACGACTCCCCTTTCAGCTTTTACATCTCCTGTGCAAATGAAGTCACAAGAGACATTCAGCTGTTACAAACTTCATGTCAAGCTTTGAAGTGCTTTTTAATAGCAGAAATATTTGGCTCACGTGTGGGCTTTGTAGCTATGGTAAATACCTCTTAGTTATCTGTCGCTACTGTTATTCCACACCTCCAATTTGGAGGAGAAATTCTGCATATGCATTGAGGCACTAGAAAAGAATATTGAACTATATCTGAGCTCTTTTGTGAATGGTTTCCTTTTATTTCTTCTCTCACGGAACTAATACTTTCACCCGCATTGTGCTGGTTATGGGTGGGAAAGCAGTGGGCAGAGAAAAGAAGGCTGATACTGTGGCAGTAGCTGGTGGCTTCACAGCCTTAGCTGCTGAAAGTTAAGTGGTCAAGCAGCTCCCTACTATAAGATCACACTTATTGAGTCATTCACCTGCCCTCCTCCACCCCACCCCTCTGCGTGCGTGCGTGCGTGCGTGCGTGTGTGTGTGTGTGTGTGTGTGTGTGTGTGTGTTGGGGTGTGTGTATGAGTGTATACATGTAGAAACTACAGGTCAATGTTGAGTGTCTTCCTCAATCACTTATCTACCTTATTTTATGAGACAGAATCTCTTACTGAGCCTGAGGCTCACCTGATTGGCTAGACTGGCTAGTCATCCAGACCTAAGGACATTCCTGTCCCCACCTCCCCAGTGCTAGGGTGACAGGCACATACCATGGAGCCATCTTCGTTTGTTTGTTTGTTTTAACATGGGTGCTAGGGATTTGAACTCAGGTCCTAAAGCTTGCACGACAAGCCCTTTACCAACTGAGCCATCTCTCAGCCCCTCCCTGCGTCCTGCGATGATGCTTTAGAAGACTTTGGATAAAATGCTCTTAGTTTTTACAAAAGAGGAAACTGATCCCAATTAGTCTGTGATAAAGGCAGAAAAGGAAAAACAACAACAACAACAACAACAACAACAACAACAAGCTTCTCATTAGGAAATTCCGCATGATGATTGAAACACAGTCTGCATGTCTTAATGTTCCGCCATGTATCAGAAGAATACATTTAGAAATAGCATTTTTGAGAGCAGACACATTTAAACAAAGGCCAGGCACTGAGCATTTGGGATCTGCCCTGTGCTGAACAGCAACATCTTACTTCTTTATGTCACTTAATTATTTTATGAAGAGATAACAGAAAATTGTATTGCATGCCCCAAGTTAAACACTTGACGTTTTTATTCCTTAAAATGCAACATTTGAGAAGTCTAGATATGTTTATTAATTAGTGATTATTAACACTCAGTAAACAACATTATGCCTTGTAAAAACACAATCTCACTGCACAGCATGAGGCTGAAGTCTATTATTCCCTGATTCCATATGCTGAAATACACTCAAATGGTCCCAAATGACCTTAAGCATTAAATAAATGTAAATGAGAACAACATAGAAAATGCACTTTTGATTGATAACTAAAAGACCAGGTTGAAAAGCATGTCCCCAGATGAAGTCCTTTCCAGAAGGAGATGGCTGTGTGAGCCATGGAGGAAGGGCTCTGCTAAGTCTCCCTCCCGAGTTGAGATTACAGATCCATGCCACCGCGCTCAGCATCACTTCGGTTTTTTATCTATTGTGTCTGTTCATCCAACTGTTTTTCTCAAACTACACAGTCAGGGTAGGCAAGCGTCCTCTATAGAAAACTTAAAACACCCAAGGATGCCAGAGTAATAGTGAAAGATAAAATAATTCCAAAATGGAACCGCTACTGTAACAAAATCTGTAGCAAGATGTACAAAGGGAAAATGCACAGACACAGCCATTTCATGTGTACCCAACGGGTGATATTCTCCTTCTAGGTCAACTGGCCACAGGGCGGGGCATCACACAACACACACTTGTTCTGCTAGGGGAAAGCAGTTCTCCTAGCCTGGAAAAGGACGAACAAAACCAAAGGGACTGGACTCCTGGACTGGTAAAACCATCAATAGATCAAGATGTCTTAGCACTACTGATGCCCTGGGCCAGATGCTTCTTATTGCTGTGTTTTGAAAGCTCACTATGAATGATCTCCACCATTAGACATCAGGACCAGTAGAAACCAGTAGTGACAATGTCTGCTCTGATCCCAAGACATGACAAAAATAATAATTAAAAAAAAATGTTCCCAGGGACTGCCAGAATTTCCTAGGGGTGCAAGACTGCCCATGCTGGGGGCCACTGGAATAAAGCCACTTAAGAAGGCCCCAAGCTGGGCTTTTCTCAACCTCACACTGCATAATCTTGGGCACCAACTGAGCTGGAAAGATGGCTCAGTGGTTAAGAGCACTGGCTGGTCCCTAAAGGACTGGGGTTCGATCCCAGCACCCACATGGCAGCTCACAACTGTCTCAAACTCCAGTTCTAGAGGATCCTACACCCTCACACAGACATACATGCAGGCAAAATATCCATGTACATAAAAAATAAAATGAAAACAAAACTCTCCTGAGCTACAAAGTGATCTTAACTCAGTGGATAACACATAATTTGAGTGTTCTATAACATATGTAGTTTTAGTGTTCTCATCTATTGAATGGAGTGTCTGCCTGACTCATGAGAGGCTCACACGATTCAATGAGGTGATACATGTGACATGCTTAGAGCAGTGCCAGGCACACAGTAAGTGCTCAGTTAACACTATCTGTTATTATTGTATTCATGCATAGCATCAAGAAAGCAGTTTCCACTGAGATGTTTTAATTCAGACAGGATGCAGAAAGGTATCTTACCAGCTTGATATTTTCTGAGCCTTAAACACGCCCGTCTTCTGATTGCTTGCGATGATGCTGTCCACATCTACAGGGCAGAGTTAAGAAAAACTTCTGCAGAGACTATCAACTGACTGAAAAAGAACTTATTAACACGCTGGCTTCTTATCACAATGGGATCCACACAAGAAAAAGAAAGGAGCGGTCAATGCTGTGCCACGAAATGCTGACTCACCACTGCAAGATCTTTTCATTCCCTAGCTTGCAATTTTACCACCCATGGGAGGACCATCTAGTTAGCCTCATGGCAGGGCCCAGAGGAGAGGTACTGGAGGCCACTGCTGGGGAACAGGAGCTGCTACGTCACTTCCTCAGGGCAACCAGGCATCCAAAGACAGATGTCCATCCGTCAGTAAGGAGGGCAATGGCTGCCTCTGTTGACTTTTCCAAATTGAAGTGGTTTCAATCTCCCAAACGCTTGTAGGGGGAGGGGAGGGGAGCAGCGGGGACAGGGTTGGGAGGAGGCAAAGAGAGAGGTGGAGAAAAACTTGGAGCCTCTTTGGGAGAAAATGCAACATTTAAGAAGAAAGTCATTCTAGTGAAAGGTCCCCGGAAGAAGTTCTGCTTTGGCCTCTGGCCTCTGGCTGGCACAGAAGGACTCATGCAGAAGAGCCGTGTTTGAATCAGAGAAACTTTGCATGACATTCAATGACCCTTGGGAAAATCACATCTAGTTCATCATCAGGAAAAGCTGGACTTAGATCCACAATGGCAGCATAGGTGTTTGTGAGTGCTGCAATTTCTCTCTTTGCTCTGGCCCCAGGACTGACAGAGGCCAATGAATATACTAATTCCTACACCCAGACACTCCCGTGGTCTTATTCTCCATGCTGACCTCTGTCCCTGGCTTCCGCACAGTCCTCTGGCTTCCTAATTTCTGAATACCCCCACCTTCTCATTTATTTGACTTGGACACATTTCCTGTAAGACGTCTCCCAATCCCTCTTCTGGAGTAAGGCAAGTTTAAAAATAAGCAAGGACTCAAATAATTCTAGTAAAGGCTGCAAGCTGCACGAAATTGGGCCCATGGGGAGGACACCAGGCTGACAACGATGTTCCCCTATTGCTTGGAAAAAAACAGATTTCCTGAATGTTCAAAGCACACACTGGCCAAGATCTCCCTGCCAGAACAGAACCACAGGATTCTGAAACCCAAGTCTCAGCTTGAACCACCAGGCACACCCATTCTTCTCTGAGTGAATAAGCAGGTACTGTGTGATAGCTTTCCTCCCTCAGGAGTAGGGAGGAAAAATCAATTAGCTCTCCTAATGATGGGCTTTGTAGAGGTTTACAAAAGTGCCATAATGCAGACTTCTTTCTTTCTTTTTTTTTTTTTTTTCCCTGGGTGAACTTTCCTGTATGCAAATTAAATACCGTTAAATTACATTCATTAAAAAAATAAAGGAGACTAATTTGCCTACTTGTTTTGATTAACTAAAATGACACATCGGCCTACGGTTTCTGTCTATTTCAGGAGCGTTCTAGATGAAATAATCTTGCAGGAAAGGACGGCTGACATCTTCATTCTGAGAAGCCCAAAATTAGTAGAACCAACTGACAACTGTTTTTTATTAAGTCCCCTCCCCTAGCCACACCCTACCCTGCGTTTCCATGGTATCCAACTGCCTGCCATAATGTGCCCGGCACACCTGTAGCGTCCTATGAGTACATGGCTAATCTATCAAGCAAAACATATTATTTTGTTAGTCGAGGTAATACTTTTTTATAAAATAGTCACAGTGAAGTTAAATTATATAACTCAGAAAACCTATTAATAATTTTTAGTAAACATCTTAACACTATATACTTTATACAATTTATAAACCTGTGACTCTGGGTGGCGAGGCTGGAGCAAGCACGGATATTTATATTCTAGAGGTTATTTTTTTTTTTAATGAAAAATTCACAGCGGTATTTAGGCTGCTTTATTTTTAGAACTGGACGGGAAATATATTTTGTGGTTTAGAAGGGCTTTTAAAAAATATATTAAAAGAATCACAGAGAAAAGATGGCAGTGTTAATGTTAAGACATTACCTTAAGAGATAGACTCTGCTATTCTGTCCCCCACCCTATAGGTCAGATTTTGATGGTCTTTCTGGATAGCACTGTGTCCAATAATAGATTTTATCATCTCCCTGTGTCACCTCAGGGTAATAAAGGAAATCCAATCAAATTGAGTCAATATGACCAGGATAATGTTCAACACAACAGACCCAATCATGCTCTGTGAGCTGCATCCACCTACCAGAAGATCTCAGTGGGAGGGGCTGGGTGCCAGGAAAGCTTTCCTGCAGTTTCCCGGATGAGATGGAGCAGTCCCCTTGTTAAAACAACTGCATGTGGCTCAAATGGAGCCAGATTTCTGCCTCTAGCTTCCTTCTTGAGTAAAGCACATGTCAGGAGTGACGCTCCATTTTAGTTATCAGTTTATATTCATTCTTAAAATGTATACTCATATACAATAGCAACAAAAGTCTTTTAGGTTAATTGCATATATTATAGATATGTAAAATACTGTTGAAAATATTAGTCTCATTGTGTCATCAGTAATTGTATTTATCAGTTATACATATATTTTTAATCAGGTTGTTATTTTTTAAATTATTTATTTATTTAATGGGTATGGGTGTTTTGCCTATGTATATGCATATGTACCATGTGTGTGCCTAATGTATTTGGAGATCAAAAGAGGGCATCAGATCTCCTGAGACTGGAGTTACAGACAGCTGTGAACCATTGTGTGAGTGCTGGGAATCGAATCTGGGTCCTAGTACTGTTCTTTACAAAAAGATTTCTTTTTAAATTATGTATGCATATGTGTCTGTATGTGGGTATGTGGATGCATGTGTGTATATTACCAAGACCAGAGGTATTGGTCACCCCTGGAGCTAGGAACCAAACTGGATCCTCTGGAAAAGCAGTACACACTCCTAACTGCTGAGACATCTCTGCAGCCAAAGAACATTATTGTTCTTTGAACCAAAAATATTAAAAAAAAAAACAACACTGTAATTCATGATGTATTGTCTTTTGGTTCATATTATCTTCGATTTCATTGGGGGTTTTAAAGGGAGGGAAGAACACTATGGGTTTTTTTTTTTAACTTTCTTTTCTTTAAGATTTTATTTATTTTTATGTGCATTGGTATTTTGTCAGCATGTATGTCTGTGTGAGGGTGCGAGATTCACTGGAACTGGAGTTACAGACAGTTGTGAGTTGTCATGTGGGTGCTGGGAATTAAACCTAGGTCCTCGGGAAGACCAGCCAGTGCTCTTAACCTCTGAGCCATCTCTCCAGCCCAATATAAATCCTATTAATTTTTATTTAAATGACTTTTTAAATGTTCAAAAGTGGCATTTTTTCCCCTGATTTAAGGCTACATACTACTCTTTTTTTTATTTGTTTTTTTTTTTTTTTGAGACAGGGTTTCTCTGTGTAGCTCTGGCTGTCCTAGAACTCACTCTGTAGACCAGGCTGGCCTCAAACTCACAGAGATCTGCCTGCCTCAGCCTCCCAAGTGCTGGGATTAAAGGCATGCATCACCACTGCCCAATTTTACACTACTCTTAAATCTATTTCTTACTCCAACAAATTGAGAGATGACACCCAGGAGCCACCAAAGCTGTTAGGAATGCCACATGTTACCTTTACACGACAGGCCTTTTTTCTTTTCTTTTTTCTTTTTTTTTTAATCATCTGGTGCTGAGGAAATACAAGACAACCCTCAATCAAGTGTTCTCACATGTGGTGAAACAGAGTAGCTTGTCGGGCTGGCAACAGACCTGTAATAAGGAGGAAGCCCAGCTTCTTATGCTGGTTTGGAAACTTACTGCTGTGTGACCACGGGTAGATTAACGTCTCCGAGCTCCCAAAACTAAGTAGAAACAACGACATCTATTTTATAGGCTTCCTGGTGTCCCATGGGAGAGGTCCAAGACATGGTGGGTGCATAACTCAGGCCAAACTTTATCATTTTGGAATAATCCAACACAAAACTTGGGTGGAATGAAAAGACTGGTGAATGGACCTAAAATGAAGATTCACATTTCAGTCTCTCCTCTGGATGCTCAGAATGAATTCTGTGGCTATTTACCTTAGATTGGAAAGACCAACTTTTGCCCAGCACGCTTTGCGTGCCCTTTATATATGGAAATGCATTCTCAATGTGGCAAAAGCTGTGTCCCCAAAGGGTGGGGACCGGGACTGTCTTACTCAGGCCACATCTTTACCACTTGAAAAGCCAGTGGCTGAAGGGTGGAGTGCTTACCTCCTGTGCTGGTGGCCCCTAAGTTCAGCCCTCAGCCTGGGGGAGGGGAAGGGAGATGCCATCTGAAATGACGAGCCATAAATACTGACTGAATTCATTTCAATGTGACTTCCAAAAACACGTGTTGAGGCACAGTGGGGCACACAGGGCTCACGTGTGACTCACAGCAGACGGAAGGCTGGCATCACTATTGAAGGAAGTGTCTGGGCACAGGGCGATGGCCTGGGATTCTCAAGTCCTCAGCCATCCACAGCACAGGCTGCATCATACCCATGGTGCTTTATTTATTAATTATACAAGTCAGGGATTCTATTTAAAAAATGTTAAACCTGGGTACCTCCTGTGAAGAGCCATGGGATTTACCTGGCTTTGGAGACTCCTAAACCAACGTGGAGACTACGCACACAAGCCATAAGAACACCGAAGAGCACTGTTCCAAGTACTGGAATACTCTGCAGAAAACACTATGGACTTTTACAGGAGACGGGCCAAGGCTGCGTGTTTGAATCGGATCAATCAGTGACCTTGACCAACCAGGTTGTTCACCTGCACGTGTTTAACTTTTCTTTCTCTCCTATCCTCCTTCCTTTTTGCTTTGAGATATGGTTGCACATAACACAGGCTGGCCTTGAACTCCTAATCCTCTTGCCTCCACCGCCCAAGTGGAGATTATAGGTGAGTCCCCACACCCCAGTTCTACTTCTACTGACTAGGGTTTGCAGAGGGCTTTGCAGCAACCAGAATTTATCCCGCCATTCCCCTCCCATTTTCTTTTCTCACAGTCCTTACCAGCTACACACCTTACTGAGTAGTTATCATATGTGACTATTTGGGGATAGCTTTCTACACTGAACTAAAAGAGAAATATCAAAGGGCATTTTTTTTTACATTATTTTAAAACAAATTTGAGGGGCTGGAGAGATGGCTCAGTGGTTAAGAGCACTGGCTGCTTACTTTGATTGTCAGCACCCACACAGTGGCTTATAACCATCTGTAACTCTAGTTCCAGGGGATCTGATGCCCTCTTCTGGCCTCTGTGGGCACCAAATATTCACAAAAGGCACCCATATGCATGTAGGCCAAACACCTATACTTACAAAATAAAAAATAATAATTAAAACAAAACTGAGAACTGCATAAACCAGATGATCCCCTTTCCTACTTATCCTTTGTACTCTTGGGGGTACAGATGAGATGGTATCTTTAGGAAAGGTGGTTTTCAGGATGGGGACCCCTGGATTAAAGCCAGCGAGGCACCTTAAGGACTAAGGGAAACCTTAAGGAAAACTACTCATGAGTCTGAGAAAATATTCAAGATATAAAGTTCATTTTTTCAAGTTCATTTTTCCTCAAGTCTTGTTTTCTTTTTAGATAGATCTCTTTGCAGTAAGTCTCAGATCCACAGCTCTCCAGGGCCAAGATACAGAGGCTAGAGACACAGCCCACCCATGGTACGTTGACCCATGGTACACCGTAGAAAGACAAACAAACACAACTGGCTAACATGCTTTTGTGATATGTAAGTGCAGAACTAATCTCCCTGGAGCCTCGTATATTAAAAATAAAACAAGCTGAAATGAAATAACAGAACATGCTTTTTTTTTCCTACAAAAAAAAAATCAGAATGATAGAAGCTTCAAGAGAGCAGTAAATAAAACTAGTTGGATTCATTCCATTCAGAAGCTAAAAACAACAAAACAATTTTAAAATGATGAGACTAATACCCAGGCCCTGAGTGACTGCCAGGTTGATTTTTACCATTTCTCTGGTGTGTTCATTTGTTTCTTAATGTGCTCATCTTGCCCATTAAGAATAATTAGCAGCTCTGCTTAGAGATTTGCTGGCTTCTGGCGATGTTTCTCCCCCCCTTTTTTTGTTTTGTTTTGTTGTTGTTGTTACCGACTTCCACCTTTAACTTTTTAGAAAGTAATTTTTGGATAATATTCTACAACTGCTGTATAATTTGGACTTCCTCAAATTTTAAAGGGAAGACATAAACAGTGATTTCTAAATGAGCTGTTTGATCTCTATGCATCGACAGTGTGCTGGCGAATGAGTTGTTCTTACAGAGAGGGGTACACAAATGGGGGGGGGGGACTCACTCATGTTAACCTCACTCAGCAAAACAGATTACAAGGCATGCCTATTGTAAGCTGCTTGCAAATCACGAACAACATTAGTATTAAAAGCAGGAAGCCACATTGCCAATTTTAAGGCTTTTGCATGCTTTTTTCTGTTAATTAAAATAAATTAGATCTACTTACAACAGAAAAAGGCACACACACACACGGAAGGAGCCCATCATAACAACCAAACCCTAGCAGGAAGGTCCTGAGAGATGAAATAAAACACAGGGCCAGTTTGGGTCTGCATCCTGAAAGGACCTACTTCATCTACATTGTAAGGTTCTCCCTCCTGCCCTCTGGCACCCTGCTATATTAAACCCATTGTAAAACCCAGCACAATAAAGCACTCTCAGGGCTGAGCCTCTGAGGACCAAATGTTAAAAATCCATTTTCTTGGGAGGGGGCTGTACCAATCATTTCTTTGAAAGGCCGGCAGAGTGAATGGCAGAATCGGAGATTTCCTCTCCGATTTCAGGAACTGGCATGGCATCTCTACTTAGCGCGAAGGTGCGATCATAATGAATGAATGACATTAGCCTTGCTTCCCTTCTTTGGACACTCTGTAGTTTAGTTCAATAATAATTTTAGTACAATTAAATTTACATACTGATTCTAGATGCTCCCCCACAGTTTGATGATAAAAAGTTCTAATTGATTTCTGGCCCTATTAAATAAAGTCAGTTGGTGACTTCAGGGGGGAAAAGATCTCAGGGTACAGGGCCCAATCTGAAAGTTTCTGCACCCAAAACAGCTCTCTCTTGTTCAATATTCCGTCCTGTCTTTCTGGCCTCAGAAAGCACCTTGTGGGGCTGAGCTGGCGTACCTGAGAGCGCCCATGGCTCTCTGTGTTCCCTGACAAGGAGGAGCCCCGTGAAATGATACAGGCACCACGGAAGAAACCAGAGAGAATGGAACAGCAGCAGCTGTCTTCAGGAATATTTAGCAAAACTTGTCACAGTCTCAAGATCATGATTAAAATCCTGTTTAAGAAAAGGAAGCACCTTTTGTGATCTCTTTCCCTGGTGTGAAAGGCAAAGATTGTGATTGGCTGTTTTTCCTTCCTGAATTTTTTTTTTTTTTTTTTTTTGGGCTGTCAGGCAATTAGCTGGGTGGGGCTCTGCAGAGCTGCTGAACAATATTAGCTACCAAGCTTTCCGTTCCTCCTTCCTCCTATGTGAGCAGCTGATGGAGCTGCTGGGAATTTTTATTTTCGAAAAAAAAATTACAGAGCGGAGGAAGGAGGAAAGGAAATAAAAAATAGGCTTTATGTAAAAATGCCACAAAACTCAAAGCTGCTTCAAGCCTTTGAAGGGACTAAAAATTCAAATAAGGGTCCTGTCTTCCTCGCCATGTCAAAAAAAAAAAAAAAAAAACCCAAAGCAAACAGATCTTCCACCACTTTCTCCTCTCCATTTCTGACGGCTGCAACCTGCCCTGTGCACATCAGCTAGGCTGCGAAAGTCGCCGTAAATTATGCTTGCTTTCTTAGTTAAAGTACAGTTCAATTTTCTGAACTCTGTGTACATATTAGTAAAGCATAATCTAATGAGGTTTGAACTGTAATAGCATAGCAGGAAAAAAAAGAGATAGCTTTTTAATCCTAAATAAAAGGAGCTAATGAAGAAAAGATAGCTGTTTCCAGTGAGGGATACAGGCAACTCCTTAGCAATTAGCAGGTACCGTATGACTGGCGTGTGTAATATCACATGTATAGAAGCTAGGCATTCATATTTACAGGCAACATCAAAGAAAGCAAATAATAATTTTAATCTGTTTTGTGATGGAAGATCTTAATGAAAATAAAAGAGCAAGAATGCTTCGAAATTATGAAATAAGGTTTTGAATTGCCTCGAGAGGTGCACAAAACACAGGCACGCTTGCTCCTTCAGTGAGAAGTGTCTTGTAAGCCCTATGAAAAGAAACATACAGTCAACCGCAGTGAATCCAGATATTTCTAGTTTTTCTTAATTACTGATCATGTGTATGGGGAGCTCTTTTTTAATACCTCGTGCTGTCTTTCTTTATATCAATTGTTACTCAGCCCAGGGTGGGGTGGGGGTAGTTGGGGAGGGGGCGTTGGGAATGAGCACAACCAACCGGCTTTCTATCTGAATAAGGATACTTCTGATGGCCTTTTCATTTCCATCAGTTAACAGAACTTCTTTGACATCTGCAGAAATAGCAACCTGGAAAAAAAAGAGAGAGAGAGAGAGAGAGAGAGAGACAGTACAGCAAACAATGAGCAAATATGCTTGTCTGTGTGGAAGGGAAGACAGGGTGACAAGCCTTCAGTATCATGCCTCCTCACCTAGTCCTCTGTAACAATCTTCAATCTTTTTTCATTTTATGTCTGCATTATTTTAATCATTCAATCAAATCAGTCAATACTTTTATCATTCCATTTGCGGGAGCCTCTATCTTGCTATCATTCTGTTCGGTAATTGCATTGTGACAGCGGATGATGGCATTCTGAGAGGCTTTCATTTGTGGGCTCCTGTTTATCTAGTGGAGCCATCATACAAGGCTGTCACTCTGCCTTTCAGCCTGCTTCTGTCTGGCTGCCTGATGCCCTTCATATAACTTTGCATTGCAGGCAGATGGCTTTGTGAGGGTAATTTTTTTGTGAGCTTTGACATGCTCGCACATTGGGCTGTAACCTCGACACATTGTATAAGAGCGACAGGTTTGTCAAATGCCAATCAGTGTAACAATATGCTTTTATTTGTAGAGACATAAAAACTTGTCTAATGCACTGTGCTGCTACATAATATCTCCCGAATACATGACTCAGAACCCAGAGAATGGGGGAGCGACGTTCCTGAATGGCCAATCTAATTCAAAAGAATCTAATTACTGAGCGCTCTGGATCATGTTTGTTGGCGTAATAATGCAGGCAAAACATTAGCAGCTATCTCATGGTGCTCCAACTGTGATTCGCCGGGCTATTCCTGTATCTTAGCAAATGGGACTATAATCTGAAAAAAAAAAAAATGCTTTCGCTATGGCAAAGAAAGACTGTGCGAGGCCTGGAATGTCACAACAAGCGATATTGACTACACTGAGGTAAAATGTTTCTGCTCATCGAGGCAACCATAAAATCAATATGATCCGAAAGTAAGTCAATCTAGAAGGTCTCTCAAGACCCCAGCAGCTTGATCGCGGCTGATGCTGTTGACGGTTCTCTGACCCAGCAGTTGGAGGCCCTGGAACATTTTTTCTTTTGTTCCTCCCTCTGAATGGGATTGGAATTGAGAAAAGACCTACCATGAGCCCAGCCAAGCATGTCATGCCACCCCCGAGCTCACACACAGCAAGGTCCCTGAAAGAGAGAAAGAAATGGTAGAACCCATACAAATTAGATGGAAATGGTCAGAGCCATATATATGTTACAAGAACAAATTGCCATCTGCAGTAAGAGCGACACTACCAGGGAGATGTGGAGACACGACTGGGCTACCTCATGTCGTTTTGCGTTTTAAAAATAATTATGAAATAGAAAAGTCACAAAGCAGGCAGCCAGTGGGGGGTTCCCTCATTAGTGTTCACTGCAACATTACCACCGCTGAGCTGAAAAATCCGAGAAGGTCCCCTTTCTTTCCCCTTGTCAATGGTGCTGTCTTTTAGAACTAAACTAGCTAGAGTAGCGAAAGATAATTGTTAGGAAAGGATAACATTGTTAATCCACATTCATGCCTTCAAAACCAGTCAGACAGTAAACGAAGAATAGATATGAGTGTGTGTGAACTTATGTTAGAGTCACATACAACATACAAATAAATGCAATCCTGGTTTTTTTTTTTTAATTCTTAAAAAAAAAAAAAAAAGAAGCTGAAACAGTTTGGAAAGCTGAACCACCCCCGTAAAGCACAATTACACAAAGAGCATTTAGCAATTAACACTTAGATCACAATTGACCCCAGCACAAGGCAGCAAATAAACAATGCAGGGACATAACACGTAAGCCAGCAAACCCAGGCTGAAGTCACGCCCGGGCTCAGAGTTGAGGCTGAGTGTGCCATTCATTCCACACTTACCTTCCCCCTTTGTGCCTAAATATCAGCCCTCAATGTGTGACATTCTCGCCCTGGCCCAGTGCTTGCTGACTGGCGGTTAAGCACAGCGAGCTTAGGAAATGCCAGCCTTCAGGTCAGTTTTGTAGCCCTGATTCAGAACTGCCCTCTTTAGATGTTATATGCCGAGAGTCTTAACATCGGTTCCTCCTCCCAGTTTGAAAAGTTGATTATCCCAAGAGGAGAAGAAAAGCAAAATTAGAGGGGGGTGGAAGGGGCAAAAGAAGACATTCATATTAAGAAATGTTTTCATGTGTATTTAGTTATTCAAAGCCATCACAGACTGCTTGGTAAGCATGGAGCCACAGAGCCTCAAAAATTACACGGTATCAACCCAGTCCTGTAAGAACATACGGTTAAAACACATCATGACCACTAAAGGCTTGTTATGAAATATAATGGACTCTTCAGGAAGTATATGTAAGATGTTCATAAAATGATAATTAAAATGGAAAAAAAAAACAACCAAACCTCTACTTTCTGGTTGTATCAAAGATCTCCAGAATTTTTAAATAAAGGACCTTTTTTTCCCCTTTCCTAAGTCTCATCCATGGTTTGATACATAACACATATTAACAGCTAAGAGTATTGATTTCTTTAGTACAGTAATTTATGTTATACATATTGTCAAGGACACAAGAAATACCTTTAAAACTAGACCATCTTCAAGTAATAGCTGTGAGGAGGCATTTCTCAAATGTGCCAGTGACTTCCCTGGCAGAAGTTAAAGAATGTGTTTATTGTGGGGCCTTTTTTTTCTTTTTCTTTTTCTGACCTTCACAATCAGCAAGGATTGATTGCGCCCCCCTTTTGTTTCCCCCAAATCAAAGCGAAATAAAATGCCTTGAGTAAAAATCAAAAGCCTTTGACACACAGCAAAAAGCTTGCTGTGCGTGCTCGCTTGCACCCGAAGGCAGTGCAGACCCCTTTTCAGAAGCAACATGTGTTCATGGGGAACTTTTTCTTTTTCCTTTTTTTTTTTTCTCTCTTTCTTCCTTTCGACAATTTACAGCTTCAAGGCTGTAGAGTGGGCCACTTTTTCATACGCAGATTCAATAACCATGATGGGCTAAACAAATATCTCTTAAGTGCGGCTCTTACCTGAATATATTACTGTGCTTGAGGCAGTAGTAAGCTAAAACCTCCTCAGACGGCCAGATGCCTGGAAACACAGGAGGGGAGATGTTAGGATTGCACAGTCTTTTTCTTCCAGACTAGCTTTTAAAAGGAAGGCTCAGCACAGGCCATCGCAGCTCAAACCACACTTAACATGGTGGCTCCTTGCCGTGAGCCAGACCATGAGTTTCCTTGGCTGTTGTTTCTACGGTGGCCAGTGTTAGTACCTGTCCCCAGAGTGACAAAGAGCAGCCTCAATAAACTTTGCTAAATTTCAACCACAACAACCAACATTACAGATATCAAAATTAAATGTTGACTTGGTTCAAGCGGATCTTAATCTTATTTATACAAAATTAACACACATAAGTCGAAGGCTTGCTATATATATATGTATATATGTGTATGTATATATATATACACACACATACACACACACACACACACACACACACACACACACACACACACATATATATATTTCCTGTTGGGAAAAGGAAAAAGAATGGGGAAATATTCACTTTAAGGGGCAAATAAATATTCACTTTAAGGGGCAAATAAAACTGCTGAGGTCATTCTCTTTTTTTAGGGGGTGGGGCAGAGTTTAAGACAGGGTTTCTCTGTGTAGCCCTGGCTGTCCTCGAACTCACTCTGTAGACTGGCTGGCCTAAAACTCACAGATCTGCCTGCCTCTGCCTCCCGCTGGGATTAAAGGTGTGCACCACCACCACCCGGCTTCATGCTATCTTTCTACACCTTTTCATAATAAGGTCTTAAAATATCCATAATTCCTCCATTTCTTTAATTAAAACATCAAACTGCAGTATAAGATTAAGAGACATTAATTTCACCAACTTTGGCATGCCTTTACACTAAACTGCATGGACAGACATTTCCTAAAATCATCACTTACACATTTATTGAGAAGACCTAAAGTTCAAGAATGGATAAGAACTCCTTCCAGGTAAATATGCTGGAAGTCGTAGTTACCAGTGGTTGACACAGGATGGTCAGATTATGTGTGCTTTAAAATTTTTCTCTATACTTTTTTAAATTTTCCAAAATTTTTATAATGAGCCTATATCATCTTAGATATGATTAGAATAAATTATAACCTCATAAAAATTATGGTTTCCTCCAAAGAAATCAGCCTTAGCCATCAGTTGGGGACTCCCCCCCCTCCCCCTTCCTACCAGCCTTCCTGTGTGAGGTTAAGGATGCCCCATGGCCCTGGGAAACAGCAGCCATGTCTCAGCACTCAGCACAAAGTTAAAGACATTAAAAAGACTTGATTTTTCTCCCGAGATAGATCTCTTACTTTGAAGAGTTAAGAAATCTAAACATTTCAGAGAAGAATATGTAAAAGAAGCGAACGTCACCAAAGACAGCGGGTGGTGGGTGGTGAATGAAGAGGTGGCTCCAGTGAGCACCTGCTACTCCAGCCTCCTGGCATTACCAGTGGAAAGGACAACATGGGGAAAAAACAAGGAGCAGCAACAAGAAGTATTTGGAAACACATTTAGAAGGAAGGCATACAGGTAGTTGAGTGTAGCAGTTAAGCCCACAGGTACTTTGAAACCAGACTGAATAGGCTCTGGTCCCTGCTCTGCTGTTTGCTAGCTCGGAGACTTTGGATAGGTTACCTAATCTCTGTGCCTTGGGCTTTTCATCTGTAAAGCATAATCATTGCAACATCTACTTCATAGGATGCAGAACAGGTGAGTCAAACACAAGCAATGTGCTTAGAACAGTTCCGAGCTCATAATAAGCACAAAGGAAAAACAGGGGGGCACTGTTGGCCTCTTGCAAAGGAGGGTAGAATAGTAGGTAGAAGAGAGAATTTGTGCAGACCACAGCCATTATCCCCAGAGTCAGGACAGACAGAGAACCATTTTTACCTTTGCTTTGTCAGGATCCCAAAGTCCTAAGACCTCGTACACCTCCACACAAAAAGAACTCCATAAAGACCAAAGTACATAATGAAATTCGCCGAAGGAAGAGCCAAGACAGTGTTCTCACTAAGTGGGTATAATCACCACAAGAATGAATTTCTTTATGCCCTGAGTACATGGCTGTGAGGGTTTTAAAAAAGTAATGATAGGGGAAAGGTATTTAACTAAAGCTCAAGCCCCACTGAAGAAAGAATGTGACTTCTAAAACGCATAGTCTTTTCAACTCGTTTTATATTTTTTTCAAGAAATTACAGAGTGGTTTTTTAAAAACTAAGTTAAATACAAAGATCAAAAGGCTAAATTTCTACCATTAGCAATATAATCACTGTTAATGTTTTAGACATCATTCCAAAAACCCTTTCTAGTCATAAAGGTATCTCACCCAGTTGGGATCTTCTCATGCAGGGATTCAGTAACTTGATTTTGCCCCCATTCAATAAGGTGTAGGAGGAATCCATGACACTGAGTTCACAATCTAGTTGTATCAATTGTACTGACTGCCTAGATATTCTCATGTGCATCATCATTCAATTAACTCATGCCCTCTTACTAGACAGTTAAGTTGGGTTCGAAGTTTGTAATATTATAAGACTATAAGTAGCAGTAGAAGGGTATACCTTCTCCTAACATATTTTCCCCCTATACTTAGAGATGGGATATCTGATCAAAAGTCAAGTACAGGTTTGGGAGAAATGGCTCAGTAGTTAAGAGTACTTGCTGCTCTTGCAGAGTACTGGGGTTCAACTCTTAGCACCCACATGATGGCTTACAACCATCTCTAACTCCAGTTCCAGTGTGTGTAACCTCTTCTGGCCTCCAAGGGCACCAGGCACGTATACTGCACATACATATACATTGATAAAATATTCATACATAGAAAATAAAAATAAAAAAATCCTTAAAAACTTGAGTGTAGTCCATAATCTGATAAACAAGTTGAGTAGCCCTAATCTGAAATTCAAAATACTCCAAAATTTAAAACTTCCTGAGTGGTTGCATGATGACAAATTCCACACACACTCTTAGGTGACATCAGTCAAAACAAAGCTACATTAAAAGCATTATATAAAACCAACCATCAAGTGACTTGTATGAAATACATACGAAGCAGAGGAACTTCATGTTTACACTTTGACTCTATTCTTAAGATACTATGTACATGTTGATATCCCCCAATTTAAAATGATCCCAAATCTATGCCTTTGGTGCCAAGCTTTTAGGATAAGGGACATTGGATGTATATGTAACTGTCCCACGTGAAATTTGTACACTCCATACATCCCCAGGAAGAATGTTTGTTCTGGGCTGGCTCTCATGACCTAAGTCCTGGGTCATATGTGAAAATGAAAGGGGTTGGGAAATGACTCCACAGAATTGTCCTCTGACCTCCACACATGAACTCAGGTGTACCTGCTCTCCATCATATACACATACAGTAATAAACCACTTTTGAAGACTATTTGTTTCTTCAATGTCTCCCCAAGACAAGGCCTTATCAATCTATTTTAAATCACAAATTTTATTAGCATAAGTTAACTATATACATAATGGGTTTCATTAGAGCATTTTCACACATATATACAAGTTTTTTTTTTCATACCGACCCTCCATCCCTTTCTGCTGCTGCTGATTCTATTTCTCGACCCTTATCTACTTTCATTTTATTTCAGCACTTGACGACTCAGTGAGTTTCATTAGGGTTCCTTACAGGATCTCAGGTGAGGGATTGCTCACCGGAACATGGATGGGCTCCCCACCAGTGGCTACACCGCTGAAGAAAATGTCCCCTTCTCCCTCAGCATCATTAAATCCCCATAGATACACCTCCCGACTACTGCTATTAACTGCCTATAGGTTCCTGCAGGCCTCTTCGGTCCCTCTTCCCCATACGGCAGGATGCCCACAGGCCCAGTCTTGCATGGGCATCCTGCCACTAATCCCACCTGCTGTGAGATCAAGGGTGCAATGTCAAGTTCTGAAGACAACACACCTTGCCACACACCTTCCTTCATCCCTTACATCCTTCTTGCCCAGCTTCTGCAGTGTTCTGCAGGGGTCCTTAGAGGCACACGTAGAAAAGTCCTACTCATGGCTGAGCATCCCAAGTGGCCAGCACTTTGGCTAGAAATGAGTCATGCAGTTACCGCTGTCTACTGTAGAAAGGGGCTTTTCTGGCCAAAGGCAATGGCTCACTAATCTACGGTATGAGCATATTCATTTAGAAGCTATTCTGATGGGCATATTGTGTTCTTTTAGCAAAACGATAGTCATAGCTTCCCTAACTAGGACCTATGGCCTCCACAGCCATGAGCTTTTGACCAGGATGTAGTTCAGGATGTGGAATCCCTCCTGAGGAGCAGGCTTCAGATCTCACCCTTGTCACCAATTGCTACTATTGCCCCAGTGGGCACCTCTTGCTCTGTTAGTCAGTAGTGGAGCTACAGGATCCACAGCTGAGGAAGACTGGTGAAGACACCCTCCACCCGACCCCCACCCCAGCCTCTATAACACCCTCTGGCACTAGGAGAGCGAGTTAGCAGGATTCCAGCCTGGTTCCGGCTGGATTTCTCTATACCCTACAATCAGAGTGTGTGGATGGTGTGTTTAGCAATTAGGTCTTGTCTTGTCTCTTTCTGGTGGGCAAGCAACAGCCAGGGCAAACATGCCTATTTTATTTTAAATAATGTTAAAAATTTAAAAGTATCCTTACAAATCAAGACTAAGACAAGATACTTCAGGCCCACCAGGGTGACTATAGTTTCTGTCAGATAACAACAGTGTGGGCAAGGTTACGGCAGAAATGTAAAGTGATGTAATTCTGCAAAACCGTCTTGCAGTTGCTCAGAACCTTAAAGAGTTAAATTTAGATGACTGCATGAGTTCAGAATTCCACTTCCAAAAAAAGAAAAAAAAATCCCTATACAAAAAAAAGTGTGTAAAATATTTCTAGTGGCATGCCAACACACGCTGCAACACGGGATGAACTCAAAAGCACCCTATGTAAGGGAGGCCATTTACAAAGGACCGTGTGCTGTGTGTTCGCATCCCTAACAAGGTATTTACCAAAAGTAGGATGGAGAGACAAGTAAATTTA